GGGGGGGGGGGGGGGGGGGGGGGGGGCTGTTCAGTCCAATGATAAGATGTTGCACTGCCCTCTGGAACCATCTTTCCTTAGTTATAAAATATGCAGAGTTCCTCTGTGGTTTTAAGTGGATGTTAAAAACTCACCTATTTTTCACCTAATTTTTTTAATTTGGTCTAGTCCTTTGATTTTGCTTGGACTCTGTGTAGCTTTTATTCTTCTACTGTTTGTGTTATATTTTATCTTGATATCTTTTTTTTGTAGTGCACATTGTAACTTTGGTTTTGAAAGGTGCTTTATAAATAAATATTCACTTACTTGCTATTCAATGCCAATATGCTTATTTCACAGGTTAGGGCAAGAGCAGATTACTGCCCTCTGCTGCACCAGAGTGTGGACACAAATGAAAGATAAAAATCAACACAGACAAGCTGACTGCCTCGACACTTTTTAAACCTGTGAGTTTGTGTATTTTAAAATCCTTGTTCTGGAGTCCCTGGTCGCTAACAGGGAACTAGAGTTCCACCGCGTCCTCGTTTCCTCTCGGTGTGTTTTTGCTGTGGCACCGGCGGCAGCAGCTTAGTCGCGGGTCTCAGTCTCTGATCGTCTCCTCGTGTTTTAATGAAACTGTGAGGATGTCACGATGACAGATCAATGCATCATTGATACTAGTTTAATTCATCTTTAGCTCTCTGTGTTTTCTATGCCTCGGTTTCCTGGACTTCCTGTAAGTGTAAGTATCAGCGGACAAATCAACACGAACCTGCTCTTGTTATTTATTTATTAGTTTGTTTCACATCTGTATTTTTGGTTTATTCCGCATTTAAATCGTTGTTGGTACTATCAGGTAGATTCGAGCTGAGGTTATTGAGACTTTGTTCGGTAACTCGGTTTTTAAAAGTGAAGATAAAGTTTCTGTTTCGCTTGAATGTACAGCAAAACAACATTTCTATATTTAGTCACATGTGACGCCCGATTATCTCATTTTCATCCATGCCTATAACATTTGGATTTTTACATTCATTCATTATATGTTTTTATTTCTCTTTTAGTCATCATATTTTGATTTGCAATATTTTCCTTTGTATATTTTCCCATCCAAACTAATCTACTGTGCAACATTTGTCAAGTTATAAATTCATGTGTTGTATTTGAATCAGACTTCAAATTTATCTTGAATTTTGATTTTTAAAGGTATTTAAATTAGATTTTAATGAGACTGCGTTATAAACAAGACCATAAAGTGGAGTCCATGTTTCTTTATTCATGACTTCCTTAGTGGAACACTTCTTCCATACAAATCCTGAATGAATCTTTGCAAAAATAATTGCAAACATTGACGATGTCTTTCAGCTGCTGGGGCTTCAATGAAAACACTTCAGGGTCGTAGCTACCCACAAACACACACACACACACACTCATGATTTTCTTAGGCATGTGAAAATTGCAGCCATTCAGTTTGACTCTGTTCAGTTCACACCAGGCTGTGTTTATGTACTCAAATCAATCAGGTGCTCTGGCTTGGCTGCCTCATATTTTGGCAACGTGCAGCAACAAAAAAGCACCTTAACACGTAGGAAGAGTTGGGAGTTAACAGCCGAGTGTCGTCATTGTGCATGTGTCACACTCGCAGCTCTGTCTCAGGATGCTCTCACCTGCGTTTCCTGTAGGTGCCAATTTGGAAATGAGGTGTATTCACAGCAGGGAGGAGACTGTCATAGATGGGAGAAGCAATTGTCCTGTGTGTGTGTGTGTCTCAATCATATATCACTGTAGATAGAGTCAGACAGACACGGAAACGTTAAATCGTTTTTTTGAGAGAGACTCCATGAAATTTGAGATGGAGAGCTCCAGGACGTGGGGGCCAGATGCTCCAGGTTTGCCTTTGTTTTATTTGAATTCTTTTGAAGAAAGAAAATGCAGCTGTCCTGTTTGTGGGTATAGAACTTGTGAGATTGGTGCAACCTTTAATAGCCGAGCACAGAACAAGTTATCAAATTACAGCCTTTAAAAAAATGTATTTTAAAAGTCAGTGCACATTGAAATTATCTTAATTTGTCCACCACTCTGTCCCCCAGCTTCAATGACGACCTTCTCATCAATGGCTACACTCTGGTCTAAAATCTCTGCTGCTCTGCCTCCTAATGAGGAACAGTTCCCTCTGCAGTTCAGTGACACGGTGGAGTCGAGTGTGGTGGACGTGTTGAAACGCTCCAGGCAGCAGCTGTACGGCGACTCTACGAGCACCAGTCGCTCGCTCAGTGCTCAGATCATTTTGGATTTTTCATGGGAGAAGCTCAACACGGGAACGTGGCGCCACGTGGACAAAGAGTGGAGACGTGTGTATTCGTACGGCTGCCTGTTCAAAGTAGCCGCTCTGTGCCGTGACGCTCCGTCAGAGAACGAGATCCAGCAGGCTGTCAGGACTTGTGATATGGGTTTGCTAATGGGTGCAGCCGTCATGGATAATATTCTTCAGGTTATAGTTGGGATTCTGCAGGATGAGGTCAGGAAGGCGTCTAAAGAAGAAGATGAACCAGCTGAGGTGAAGGTCAGTGGTGTTTTTATTTAAAAGACACATTATTCTATGAGGGAGTTTGTCACTTGAGTTTATTAGAAGGTGTTTACTATTTCAGAAGTGTTGAGATGTTTCAACAGCATCGTTTTCCTTCAGTTCCTTTTGGCTCAACATAAATTACCAACGCACATTTTCAGTAACTCAAGTTCGAAAAATCGTAATTGTAAAAACCGTATTGTAAATCGTAAAACTAGTTCATAAGATTTCATGCAAGTTTCAGTCGCACCGTTTCGAAGCTGTGCAATCACAAAGCCACTTTTTTTTCTCAGTAATTCAAAGTTTGAACAAACAGTGACAGATGAGGACATTTCAAAATAAGCCTTTCAGAAGTTGTAGAATTGCTTTTCCCCTGTTGCTCTCCATCTTGTTGCTCTTCATCTTGTCGCTCTCCATCATGTGTCACTGAAGATAGAGTGCGACAAACACTCAGATGTCAGATCACTTTGTTCAGATGCCATCGAAACTGAGAAGGAGACTTTCAAGCATTGCTGGCAGGATTGTCGGTAAAAAAACAAGCATCGATGTCCAGTTGCACATGAGAATAATGCTGCAGCTAACGACTATTTTCATTATCTTTCTGGGTTAATCAATTCAATTGCTGGTTCAGTTAGGGAAAACGTATATTGAGTTTATTATCACAACAAAATAAGCATATCCATGCGTTTGACAACCAGGAACATGAAAAATGTTGGCATTCTTGCTTGCAAATGACAAAAACCATTAGATTATCAAACCAATCAGCCACTAGAGAAATAATTGAATCTTCCTTTTAAAGAAAGATGAACAGTCATTTGTTTATCTTGTTATTTTCCTCTTGATACTAACATTTTGAGTGAAAGAATTGACAAACCTCTTTTGTTTTGACATCATTAACAGAGACTGAAGCTGGAGCGGCCACATGTTCCTGCGATCAGAGAAGAGCTTGCGGTTCCCAGGGTAAAGTGTCCGTCGCTGGAGAGCTTCAACACAAACCACCTGCTGCCCCTCAAACCAGTGATTTTAGAAGGGACCATTGACCACTGGCCTGCACTCAACGGACACCGCTGGAGGTTGATCTCCTGACTCTTTTTTTTTTTTCCATGTTCAGTTTCAGATTATTTGCATGGTTTGAATTTCTATAAGCTTGCCCTGTATATTTTTTGTCCAGATTACTTCCCCAGGTCTGTTGTTGTGACACATGATCTTAAGATAGATTCTGGTTATAACCTTTGGTTTCACACTGTTAGCGTTAGTTTACACATCACTAGTCCTCCACTCTTCTTGTGTTCAGTTCAGTCCTGCTGTGTAATCAGACTGATTCACATTCGTGAGGACAGACGAGTGCACTAATCCAGCTGAGAGGAACATTCTGATTGAGCCTGGTACTCAACGACATGTAACATACAATTTACATCAGTCTAATATGAAGCATTGAGACGATTAGTATAAGTTTCATTTATTATCTGAAGATGCAGAACAATATACACTGAGTTGAGGCTTTTTTTTCACTAAATCTCTTATTCCTGACTCTTGTGATATGACTGCCTCTCCTTCACTGTCCTCCCCCTCACTCTGACACCTCACGTACACTCATTCATTTTCTTCCTCCTGAAAAGCATAGAATACCTGAGGTCTGTGGCTGGGTGTCGGACCGTTCCCGTCGAGGTGGGATCCAGGTACACGGACGAGGAATGGTCACAAACTCTAATTACGGTCAATGAATTCATGGATCGATATATTTTGAATAAAGTAAGTGCATCCTCATCAGAGTCTTGCAGTTGCATTTGTGAAGCATGAAGGTAAAACGCTGCAGTTTGATCTGTAACTGGGTATTTTCATTTCTTTTTCTCTGTGGAACAAACTCACCCAGGATGGAGTGAAGGGTGTGGGTTATCTGGCTCAGCACCAGCTTTTTGATCAGGTACAATTTCATATTTTACTTTGAAATGAAACAAAATGACTGTGAAAATAATAATCTATTAATTGTGTCATTTTACTAATTGGTTATTCAGCTCATTTTTTCAGCACTTTAACAACTAGAATAGAATTTATCACTAGCTGTTATCATCACACCATATTGCTTTGAACAGTATTGACTGTTTAGTGCTAATTTTACCATAGAAGTCAATACATTGTCTGGGTTGAACTTTACAAAAAGGGCAACTTGTCAAAATAAAAGCTGTTTTTGGGCTGTTTGATAGTTTAGAATGAGGCTAAATGAGGAGGAATCACACTATGTCCTCTTCTGTCAGAAATAAAATCATTCCTTTTTTAAAGTTATTTTAAGTTTTAGTTGTCTTTATTTAATTGTCTATTATTATTAATATTATATACATATATCAGTTGGGATTATATGTATAGTTTGTCTTTTTTGAAATAATATATCTAATGGCACTACACTACGCAGTAAAGTATGTGACAAATTGAAATTCAGGCCGGATGAAGTTACAGTAATAGCTTTATTTATTTAATGCCTTTTGAAGCCAGAGCTAAAAGGTGCTTCACAAAATGAAATCTATAATAATCACCAAAGTTATTACAAGTCATTAGTGTAATAAAATTCCTCCTGTTGGATACATAAAACTCTCATTCTTCACAATCCCAGTCAGGTGGGATTGAGCAGCGTACTTAAATGGATCAATTTCAGGGAAATGTCTGCATGTTCAGAAACAACAAGATAATATTAAGTCAGAGCCCCTGATGTAATTTAACTACGTTTGGGTAATGTTTCCTTAGATACCAGAGCTGAAGGAAGACATCCGTCTCCCTGATTATTGCTGTCTTGGTGAGGAAGATGAAGATGATATTACAGTAAACGCATGGTTTGGGCCTGGAGGTACAGTGTCTCCTCTTCACCACGACCCGCAACAGAACTTCTTGGCTCAGGTGACGATGACGACGGCGGCGCAGCATAATGAATCCAGTCCATGTCAAAGTTCAGTTACGTGATGTGCCGTCTGTTTACTACTCGAGATTCCCTCTGTATATACATTAGGTTGTGGGGAGCAAATACATTCGCCTGTATTCCCCAGAGGACACGGACAAGCTGTACCCTCATCAATCACAGCTGCTTCACAATACTAGTCAGGTGGGATTGACAGTCCATAGAGATAGAACATGTTGAGCTTGCAAATATATGCAGCATTTCCAATTTCTGACTCCTTTCAGTGCAGGTGGAGGTGGAGAATCCAGACATGGACCGATTCCCGGAATTTTCCAAGGCTCCATATCTAGAATGTGTGTTGCAGCCCGGAGACGTGCTGTTCATCCCTGTCCGACACTGGCATTACGTCCGATCCTTGGAGCTCAGCTTCTCTGTCAGCTTCTGGTGGTCGTGAATTCAGATTCCATAATGATAATAGAAATATAAATTATTTTTTAATAGTATTCTGCTGTTTCCTGCTGCTGCTGTGTACGGAAATCAGTGTGGCGATTTTAACTAAAGCTAATTCTCATAAATGTGAGGACAACGGCTGATCAAACAAACCTTTGATCCATGAACAATGAACACACTCTCCAGAATGATTAGTTTAATTGTGCTGCTGATGACTGCAACAACATCTATTGTGTGGAAAGCCGACTGTGGAGATACAAAAACAACAAATGAGCGGTTAAAAGTGTTTGCGCTCATTTCATCTCGCATATAATTTACAGAAGGCTGTCGTCTAATTTGATAGGATATGTTTCTCTTTTCAAATTGGCTTATTTAATTGTGCTCTCAACCTTATTCCTACAAATATCCTCAGTTGTGTGATTTCCATAATTCATGGAAATGAGTCCTCAGATTTAATAACCGAGTGAGATACAGGTACAAAAAAATGTTGTAATAAACACGGATCTCTGGTTAAACTGACAGTGTGGCAATCAAGCAGGTCACAAATGAGACTTAATAAATTAAATGTATTATTCCTCCGGGGCGCAGATAGACTTCCATTAAAATGGTCTAATTTGTTAAGTACCCCGACACATTTCAACTGTTGTCGAGCAGCAAAAACACAACACCTGACTCCCAAGTTTTTTTATTTCTGATTTCAGCCCCAGTCTTGAATCCTGTCAGTCCATTTCACTTAAACCTGCTCATCACATCCATGAGGTTTGAGGAGATGTGAGAAAAGAAAAGTAGATCAGCACTCATGTTCACTTTTGATCTGCTTTTCAACCAAATTCACAGTGAGATAAAGAACTGTTCAGGGAAATCAAGGAGCTGAAGGGCTTGGGGGAAATTTTAATAAAACAACATCACATGAAAAATCTTGCCTATGAGTGAAAATTTGTGCTCTAAAACTCTAAAAATTGACATTTTAAAACCGCGAAACATGGTTGAAATAAACTCCAGATATTTTGTAAGAAATATAAGGCTGCCCTGCAAGACCAGAATCAGAAATTGTGACATCAAATGTTTTCATAAAAACTTTGCCAGAGAAATGTGGATTTTTATACTTCCTTGCCGGCGACAGGCATTATGTTCTCGGGTTGTCCGTCTATCCCATTCTTCTGAACACGACATCTCAAGAACACCTTGAGGCAATTTCCTCAAATTGGTACAAATGTTCACTTTGAGTCAAAGATGACCTGATTTGATTTTGGTGGTTGAAGGTCAAAGGTCATGGCGACCTCATATGAATCTGGAAAAACAATGTATCTTGACTGAAACTACACTAGTTGGCGGAGGCATACAACTTCCTGCAGGGCAAGAAAGTAAAAATATTATTAAAATTATCCAAAACATAAATATACTGTAGTTGTCAGCTATCAAGTGTCTACAATTAACTTACCCACTTTTTCCTGTTTTCCATGTTTGAAAAATTAGTTTTAATCTTGCTAATAGAATTTGTTGTACCACATAAGAGGAAATGGCTCAATCGAATTATATATGAAGAGTTAAGTAACATCAGATAAACCAGTCAGCCAATGAAACTCTCTTTGCCTCCTCTGAATGGAATGAAAATCACATGATCTCATGTTTAAAGGTCAACTTATTAAAGAGAGAACTGAATAAGGAACAAACACAGTGCTGTATTGAAATTCTTTGGTTGTATTGAGACAATAATTAGTAACAATTTAAAAATATCCAACATCCTCAAACTT